CTTTGGGGACCTCTATGATTGTAGTTTCTAAAACTTTTTCTAACAAAGTTGGATTTTGAATTTCCACCTTTTTCAAAATGTTTTGTTCCAACTTTATCAAAATAAGTTTTAAGATCATCAATTTTCTTTTGATGATCATCATTGATCTTTGAAAGTAAATTTTGCAAATCTAAATTTTTCTTTTCAAACTCTTCTAGTTTGATTTACAAATCTTTGATTTTACTTTCAAGATCGTTGTTGGTTTTGGATATGAGTTTGTTTTCATTTTTCAATTTTGAAACATCATTTTTATATTTTAAAAATAATTTCTCATAATCCGAAGCCAACCCATTATATTCCTCTAATAACTCATCATAGGATAAATCATCAAAATCGGATGAGTTAGAAGTTACCTTAGAATCTTCCCCAAATGCCATCAAGCACAAGTTAGCTACTTCTTGTTCCTCTTCATCGGAACTTTCTTCATCGCTCCATGTAGCCACATGAGCCTTGTGCTTATTCTTTGATTGACCCTTTTTCTTCAATTGTGGGCAATCATATTTAACATGCCCTGGCTTTTTGCATTCGTAGCAAATGATTAGGTCCTTCTCTTTCGGTTCATTTTTGAGGCCTTCATTTCGTTTGAATTTTCTTCCTCGATAAGGTCTCATCATTTTCTGAACCGTTTGGCAAACAATGTCATTCCTCGTCATCGTCATCGTTATTCGAATCACTATCATCTTTTGTGGATTTGAGAACAACTCAAATGTTTTTCTTCTTCTCCTTCTCCTTTGGTGTCTCGTCAATTTTGTCGAGGTCCACCTCATCTTCGAGCATCATTTCATGAGTGAGGAGTGACCCAATTAGCTCTTCAATAGTTAAGGACGTTAAGTCCTTAGACTCGATGATTGTCGTCTTCTTTGATTGCCACGATTTTGGGAGGGAGTAGACTAACTTCCTCACAAGCTTTTCATTTGAAATGATCTCTCCATATGATTTGAGACCATTGACAATCGTTGAAAATCTATCCGTCATAGCTTTGATATCTTCATTTGGTTTCATCCTGAAATTTTCATATTTATGCGTTAGAATACTAATTTTAGATTTCTTTACCTCATCGGTACCTTTATGAGTGACTTGAAGTTTGTCCCATATTTCTTTGGCGGTTGTACACGATGAAACTCTTCCGTATTCATCTGGTCCAAGAGCACAAAAAATGATATGGATGGCTTTGGAGTTGAGCTGGAACATTCTTGTCTCTCATTCACTCCACAACCTTGGATGAGTGAGAGGTTTGATGTATCCTTCTTCTACAGCATTCCATGCTCCCATGTCACTTGCTTGAATGAAGTACATCATTCTATTCTTCCAATAAGCATAGTTAGCTCCATTGAAGAAAGAAGGCTTGTTGACGGGCATCGAATCGAGACAGGAGTCGAAGTTTGAAGCGGAGGCCATTGATGACTTTGATAATTGATATAACTCTTCCCGAATCGACTCAAGAAGCGATTAAACCTTCAAATGAGTTAGGCTCTGATACCAATTGTTGAGTTAATCAATTGACGGATTTGGCCAAGAGGGGGGTAAATTGGCAATTAAAAATTTGGTGGAAGCTTTTACAGAAAATTGAAAGTAATTGCACATCGATTTAGAGTGGTTCGACTTTCTCAATCAAAGTCTACGTCCACTACCTTAGCTATCCACACTAAGGATTTCCCAACAAATTCACTAATTTGTTCTTTCTTTTGAGGCCAAAGAGATAACCTTACAACACCCTCAAGAATATACCCCAATTCTTGAGAACACTTTTTCTCAAAGAGAAGATTACAAATTTGCAAACTTACAAGGAAAACCTCACAAGGTAAGATGTTTGCACAATTCTAGAACAAGAAAAGAACACTCAAAGATAATTACAAATGAGCACAAATGGTGTTCTTGAAAGCAAAATGAATATTGAAAGGAAAATTGGCTTGATTTGCACAAACTTGGTGTTTGATGCTTTCTCTCTTGTTTCTCTATAATTTCTTGTTGATCAAGGGCTTCATAACTTGTTTAAATACACCTTGAATCACTTCTGAACGTTGGGGATAATTAATGAAGATAATATAGCCGTTTAAGTGTGAAAACATTTAATAAAAATGCTTGGAGCGTGGGGGGAATCGGTTCCCCCTCATAGGGGATCGATTCCCTAAGTGTAAAATTCAAATATTTCGACCGTTGAACAGGGGGGAATCGGTACTCCCTATGGGGGAATCGGTTCCCTCCGAGCATTCTGGAAATCTCGGAGCCAAACCATTCAGGGGGATCGGTACCCTCTTGGGGGGGGGGAATCGGTTCCCTCTGAGCAATCTGGAATTTTTGGCTTTGAAATGGTTCGAAATACTTTGAAAGATTATTTTGAAATTGTTTTAAGATTAAAACTTAATTTTACACTTAAGTAAGGATTAAAAATGATTTTTGAAATATTTGGAGTAATGTTTTGATATTCGAATAATTATATCGAATATACTTAGAAAATCATTTTGGAAAATCTTAAAATTCATTTAACTTAATTTGTTATATCGAAATATCAAAATGTTTTCAACAATTTCAATTTCTTCAATTTTGATCTCTTATTCATGGACTTTAGAGCATGTTTTGACAAAATGGATGTCGAATTCAAACTTGGTGGTTCGAGGTGAAGCGACTGGTAAAATCTGGGGACCAAACGACCACCAACTATAGCCATCGACGTTTCAGTTTCTTTACTTTTGATCAGATTCAAAGCATGTTTCGATAAAATAGAGGTCAGATTCGAACTTAGGGGTTGAGACGAAGCGACAGATGAAATATGGGATAAAATGACCACCATCTACTACCGTCGATGATGGCGTCCAATGACGGCGAACAATAGACTGCCACTATTCGAGTTTAATTTTGCGTTTTAAATTAGGGTAAATTACACCGTTCCTCACTCTACTTTACTCTCTCTCCTATTTTGCTCACTAAACTTTCAAATTTTCTAATTAGCTCACTGAACTTTAAAAATTGAATCATTTTGCTCACTCTCTCGTTTTTCTCTCCAACAGATGATTTTTAAATAATATAAAATAATTAAAAAATAAAATAAAAATAGAAGGTGGTCGGATGTCACCGTTGACCTCTGTAAATGGTGGTCATTTGGTCCCAAAATGGGATGGTCGCTTCGCCTCGATATCGTGAGTTCTAATTTGACCTTCAATTTTTTGGAAGTTGCTCTGAAACGTTTCAGTCCAAATTCATGTGTTTTTGGACATTTTCTGTTGAAACAAACACCAGATCCAAACACAGGGGGTCAAGACGAACCGACCCATCCTATTTTGAGATCGAACGACCACAATCTACGGTGGTCAACAATGGCCGGAATAAAAATGACGTGGTGGCCGGCGGATAGAAAATGGAGAAGAGAAGGAAAAAGCATAAATTACATCACAAGTCATTAAACTTTACTCTATTTCATTTTTTACTCATCAAAACGATGTCATTTTATAGTATATTTGAGTTTTTCAAAACGACATCATTTTGATTCTTGTGCTAATTCATAACGCCGTTAAAAAGTTAACGACTGATTGATCTAAATGATTTAATATGTAAAGTTCAGTGAGCAAATTAAAAAAATTGAAAGTTCGGTGAGCAAAATAGGAGAGAGAGTAAAGTAGAGTGATGAACCGTGTAATTTACCCTTTAAATTATTTTATATTAAATAATATTAAAAATATCACATCATACCAAAATAATAATCAAATAATTCAGAGTGATTAAATAAAAGCAATTCGAAAGTTCAGTGAATAAATTAAAAAAATTAAAAGTATAATGAGAGAACTACGAAAAAAAAGTAACGATGAAAGGTGTAGTTTACCCATATAAGGTGAAAACTCAAACAACCCCAATTACCCCCAAAATGATCCATTGCAGTAAAGAAAAAGTGTAATCCGAAAGTATGAATTGAGGTATGGTGTTTTTAGCATATTAATTAGGGTAAACAACACATTATTATTTTCATTTTATTTCATTATTCTTTTAAAACCAAACTAAACGTTTAATTTAAATTTTAATTTAAAATATTATTTTTTAATAAATTAATAAAATTATTAATAAGATATTTTTATTCTTTTAACAATAATATAACATTATTTTATAATGATATTATAATATTTTTATTAAATTTTTAACAATAAAATATTAAAATAAAACTTAAACTTCTCTCCCTTTTTATTAGTCGCTCTCTTCTTTGCCCCCCATTTTTTTTTAGTTTGTATAAATCATATTAACTTTTTTTTATTTAATTTTCTTTAACTGATCACAATACCGATTTTGATGTTGGGTGTCGATTATCGATTTTCTCTTCTCTTTGTTTTTTTTTTTAATTTTTTAATAAGAATAATTTTGCATGTGTTGTACGTTTATCTTTGTCTCTGTGATATGTTTTTCAATTTTTCTCGGTCGTTTGTCTTTTTTTTATTTATTTTTTCTTAGGGTTGGATTTGACGACGTCACAACTGATCAAGATGACGCTTATTTGAAATCTTATTAATCTTCCCTGCTATGGACCTTTGGATTGATTTTGGATGCCTGGTTTTGCGTTTGAAGATAGTTTCTCACGACGTTTGGCTCCGATTTATTATTTTCGATGATCTTTCAATAGTTTAATTTCCTTTTATAGTTTTTTTGCCGATGCAATCATATTTATTTGTATCAATATATATCTCTTATTATTAATCAATATATATCTCTTTTTATTAATATAAAATAAATACGAAATAATATATATTTAAATATAGTTTTTAATTATGTAATATTATACTATATTTATAGTATTTTAATATAAAATTTTAAAAATTAAATATAATTAGGTGTACTCGTACATCTTTATCTCTCTTAAATTATGAGAATGGGTACATTTATTATATAATTCCAAACTTCTTAAATGAGCCAGCCAGCTCTGTTCCTTCCATTGCAGACTGGTATATATAACTCATCTCCTCTCCTTATCTTTTGAGAGAGAGAGAGAGAGAGAGAGAAGGAAAATTCATTTTTAAAATCCTTATTTGGGAATGAAAATCAAACACTATAGGGTGAAGCAGTAAGGTTATCTAATCCATTTGCTTCTTCTTCTTTTTTAATTTAAGAAATCAACTTCCATGCTCAATCTTTCTCTGAAGAAAAGATCGAGCTGAAAATGGTGGGCGGCTGGAGAAGAGCTTTTTGCACCTCCATTACCAAGAACCAAGACAGCCCGGTTTTACCGGAAAAACAACCGGAGCAGCGAAGCAATGGCATCAAGACCCCAAGATTTAACACAAAGATTGGGTTTTTCTCCAACCCATCAACGCCCAGTCTTCGTTGTCGAACCAGTTCAAACCCATCTTCTTCACTTCCCAACAGCCCCAAGCTCCATTGCAGAGCATCCCATCTCTCTAATCCTCCCTCCCCTAAATCCCCTTCCACTTTCTCCTTCCTCAAGACGACTCTTCGCCTCTCCAAAGTAAGCTTCTTTCTCGTTTCATTTTGTTTAGAGATTCAAAGTTTTGCTTATGAAACTAGTTAACCTTTTTTTTCCAGGGAGGTCGATGTGGAATCTGTTCACAAAGCGTGAAAACGGGTCAAGGTACGGCGATTTTCACGGCGGAGTGTTCCCATTCTTTTCATTTCCCATGCGTCGCTGGCCACATCAATAAGCAGCGGTTTTTAAATTGCCCCGTCTGTTCCACCTCCTGGAAGGAGCTCCCTTTACTTTCACTTGAAGAGACCGGTAAAACTCCTCTCAAGAACATCAACACGAAGGCCAAGTCGTTTCGGGTCTACGACGACGATGAGCCATTGGGCTCCCCTCTTTCACTTTCTCAGTTCAATCCCATTCCGGAAAACGACGAAGTGGAAGAGGAATTCAAGAGGAAAGAGATTGAAGTTTATACAAGAAACGTGGATGTTAGGTTGCTACAAGAGGCGGCGATGGTGGCGGTTGGGAGGAGTTACGAAAGTTATGTCGTGGTCATGAAAGTGCACGCTCCGACCGCCACGTGCAGAGTGAAGAGGGCTCCGATTGACTTGGTCACGGTGTTGGATGTCAGCGGCGGTGGGATGCGGCTGCAGATGGTGAAGCGTGCGATGAGGTTGCTCTTCTCTTTGCTTAACGAAATGGACCGTCTGTCCATAGTGGTTTATTCGTCTAGTTCGAAACGGTTGTTGCCATTGAAACGGATGAGTTCCGACGGCCGGAGATCCGCAAGGAGAATTGTTGACGCCCTGAGAAGCAACGGACAGGGGACGAGTGTCAACGACGCGGTTAAAAAGGCCGCCAAAGTGTTGGATGATCGGAAAGAGAAGCGCCGTGGCAGCCTCGTGATCATATCCGACGGTCAGGATAATAATCAGTCCCAGAGGAACTCCAACAATCATAATCTCCCGGTTGTTTCGACCACGCGCCTGCCACAGTCGGATATACGCGTGCATTCCATCGGTTTCGGCACGTGCGGTCATGCTCCAAACGACGACTCCTTTTGTAAAATCTTGAACGGTCTTTTAGGCGTGGTTGTTCAAGACGTCAGACTCCAACTGGGATTCGTATCCGGTTCGGCGCCGGGTGAGATTTCGTCGGTCTATTCATTGACGACTGGACCGGCTTTCGTGGGGTCGAATTCGGTGCGGATCGGGGATTTGTACTCGGGCGAGGAGAGAGAATTATTAGTGGAGCTGAAAGTACCCGCATCGTCCAGCGGGTCTCACAGGGTGATGTACGTACGGTACTCTCACCGTGATCCATTTACTCAAGAGATGCTCTACTCGACGGATCAGCGGATGTTAATACCTCGTCCGTCGCAGTTGCTACGGTCCTCGTGTCGCTCCATCGAACGGTTAAGGAACCTGTACATCAGCACGCATGCGGTGGCGGAGTCCCGGCGTTTGATGGAGCGTAACCATTTATCGGAGGCGCGTAATTTGCTGACCTCGGCTCGAGCCTTGTTGGTGCAAACCGGATCGGGATCAGCCGAGGAATTTATCCGCGGACTGGAGACAGAGTTAGCGGAGTTGAACGGGAGGCGCCGGAGAGAAAGGGCAAATAACAATAATGCGGTGGAAGACAAGGCTGAGCCGTTAACACCGACGTCGGCGTGGAGAGCGGCGGAGAGATTGGCTAAAGTGGCGGTAATGAGGAAGCATATGAATAGAGTTAGCGATTTACATGGATTTGAAAATGCCAGATTTTAATTTATTTTCTGCTTCGTGTTTATTCCACTGGTTTGATGTGTAACACAACGCTGCAAAATTTTATAGAAATAAAAAAGACTTGAAATGGACGTATATTAATGGCTGTGGAAATTAGGAAAGAAGTGAAAGTTTTAATGTTAGAAAAAATTGGAATTTTAGTTAAATAAGATAAAGTACATAAATGATAAGAGATGTGTATAAGACTTTAATTTGATGGGTTTCGATTTAATCTAATTACATCGATATTTTTAAAAAAATCGAGTTCAAGTGGGGTAGGGTTGGATTTTTTAATGTTATATTTAGGTCTGGTTTTGATTTAGGGTAAAAAATATTCGATTTGACTCAAAAAAATTATAATTTTACTTTATATATTTAAGGATAATTGTAATAATACATATATATTATTTTCTTTTAATTAATTTTTATTTTTATTGAATAAAAATAATATTTTTTAATAAATATATTATTTCAAACCGGGTCAGATTTAAGTCGGGTGAAAGGTGTATATTTTTTAGATCGGGTTTGGGTCAGTTTGAGGATTTATAATTTTCGGATTGGGTCAGGTGGACCGAAAATCTGACCCTACTCATGCCCATCCCTATTCTTGACTATAGATTTGTTCCGTTAATTTTATCAACTATTAAAAGTTATAAAATGATCACTCAACTATTCATATATTTTAAATTCGTCTTTTTCATTTTTAATTAAAGATTATTTGAGTTGAACGTTAATATATTGATTAAATTTAAAAATTAGATTGATGATATATATATATATATATATATATATATATAATTCACCTAATTTTACATTAATATAAATAAATCTTTCAATGGAAAATTTATAATTGCATAATTTTTAACCGTGATATTAAAATAAATCTAAAATTGTTATTTAATTCGATAAACTACATGAATAGTTTCTCGGCTATTGGTCATTGTTTTATTAAGTCTCACAATATAAAATTAAAAAGTTATGTATTGGTTTATGTTTGTTAGATGAATAAAAATATATTGTTGATATTATCAGTAAAATATAAGAAAATATTCACTAAAAATAAAGAGATTATCTCAACAGTCTATTTTCATTTATCTAACGATTTTAAATTAATGTAAAATTAAAATTAATTTTATGTCATATAAATAGATCCTAATCCTGTTTAGATTAAGACTCACCTATACAATATAAAATTAAATAAATAATTTAAATTATTTATATTTATTCGTTTAATGATCTTAAATTAAAAATAAAACTAAAAAAATTTATAATGAGTACCTAAACGGGAAAGTATAGGATGGTGACTTGAATTGGAGGACAGAAAATAGCAGATTGATAGGCCCTTTGGCAGGAAGGAACAGATAGCTCAGAGAACCCATTCCCACCTTTGATCTACTTCTGTTTCTCTTCTTTTTTTTAATTATTATTATAATATACAAATGAAAAAAGTAATATAAATTTTTATTATAACATACAAATGAAAAAAAATAACATATATTAAAAGAATTGGAATAATAATAATAATAATATAATTTTCAAGTATTTTTCTTTAATTGTAAAAAGAAGTGAATGATTGTATGGTTAGTAGGTCAAATCAAAAGAATGTTTAAAATGATGAGATGAGAGTGGGATTAATGGATTTTTCATTTCAGATAAAAAAGAGAAAAGGTGGGCTGGCATCGGCTGATTTGGTTCTCAACCCATGTTTCTAAATTCTCTGTGGTTGCTTGGATGATGTTGCTGGATAGACTGTCAACAAAGGACAGACTTGGACGTTTTGGTATTGCGACTGGCAATCTATATGGACTGTGTGGGGCTAGTCAGGAAACTCGTAACCATCTATTCCTGGAATGCTCTTATACGTGTGAGGTTTGGCGTGCAATTATGCACTCTTGTGGTTTGCATCACCAATTCCCGAGTTGTTGGAATGATGCTATACGTTGGATGGTTCTGAACTTTAAAGGTAAATCCCCCTTGATCCATATGCTCAAGTTAGCTTGGACCAGTTTTGTCTACTTTATTTGGGAGGAGCGAAATCATAGATGTTTTAGAGGAGTGACTCGCTCGACTGATTCAATTGTAAATATAAATAGTGAAATTGTTAGAATCAATCTTCATAAATGTCATATGAATAAGACTGATGCTGTAAATAGTCAGTTGTGCTTTAATTAGGGCTGATATAGTAGTCGTATTATTCTTTCTAGCAGCTCTGTTGCTTTCTTTTAGATGAATAAAATTTTACTTTTTCTATAAAAAAAAGACTTTTCATTTCATTTGTGGTGTTTTTATTATGTGAGCTGTGAATGCCCTTACCAGGGAAGATGTCAAATGCTTATTTTATTTTAGGGTAAATTACATTAATAGTCACTAATATTTGTGTTAGTATTTTTTTCACAATTAATGTTTTAAAAGTCACAAATCAATCACTAATATTATCGTTTGTTACAAATTGATCACTCTTCGTTAAAGTTAACAAGAGTGGCGAAATATACAGCTCGACCATTTAAAGTTTACTTGGACTGTTCAAACGTTGAAATCAATAGCATGCATGGGTTGTTGCTTCATCTTCTTCCTCTTTCCTGAGTAGTTACCGTAGGTTCTTGCTTCATCTTCTTCCTCTTTCTTCGGTAGTTAAAACAAATGAATTTTTGAGGTGGCCCAAAGAAGATGGAATCTTTCCATTAAGTGAATTTTCAAACACAAAATAAATTTTAAAAGAACTTCCCTATTAGATTATCACTAACAGAAAATAAATTCAAATGAAAAGGTTTGAAGTAAGAACTAATTTTAAAAGAATTTAATATTCAAATGAAACAATTTTATGAATTTCAAAAACAAATAATTTTATTTAGGAAAATAATAAAATAAACAAGAAAATAAGTCGCACATTCTCAAGCTTCTCAAAAGAGTCGGCCTTGAGGGGAACCCAACCGTGAATGGTTTCTCCGGCGACAACACTAAGCCATACAGGTCAATCAGTAGCCACGTGTTCACCTTTTATATGGCAAAACTTTTGAGATAACGTTTTCGAATTTTTTATTTAACGATATAACGTACTCCCAAGATTAATTGCTTAAATAGAGCGAATTGTACAATGTTGGCCGTAGGTCGCTATGCCTTCCGGGCGACCTACGGCGTGGCAGCTTCCCAGTATAGGTCGCCATGCCCTCCGGGCAACCTTGTAGGTCGCCATGCACGCCAGGCGACATGGTAGGTCGCCATGCACGCTGGGCGACCTTGTCCTGCGCCTTGCTCCCCGTTGCATGCTCGCCTGCTCCCCACTGCATGCAGGCGACCTCTTCCGACGTGCATGGCGACCTCTTCCGACGTGCATGGCACATGCAAAGCTTCATCCTCTCGCCACAGCTCGTAGCAAAGCTTCATCCTCTCACTACAGCTCGTATAGAACACTTTTATCGTGATTTCATTGCTGCATGCATGAGGGAGACAGGGGTGAGGGAGGCAGAGCCACCTTTGTCGTGATTTCAGCAGAATCATAGAGGAATTCGAGCCATTTGCATGGCGACCTACAAGGTCGCACCAAGTGTATGGCGACCTATGATCTCGTTTGGCTTGCATGGCGACCAATCCATGCACTGTATAATTCACACCATTTGAACAATTATTTCTTGGACAACATTATCACGTGAATTGTTTTTTTTCACAGCAATATCTCGTGAGTTTTGCCCCTTTTATATACTTCTGCAAATTCCCCAACCGCAAACTCAGCGAGTCGGATCTCCAACTCGCCCAACCTGACTAACCCCTACTCACCCTCAAATTAGTCACAACACCGCTGTTTATATTCTTTTCCTTCTTACTATCACCGTAGAAGTTGCTCACCTTCTTCTCCAGCTCCGAGAACCTGATCCAAGATACTCCCAAAGCTACTGACGACACCGATATTGTCACGTAAAGCACCCGAGTGATCTATTACAGGCGTCACTAACATCGTCTGTTTAGAACTGACGCAACCCATTTGATTTCAATGGCTGACGTTGACAATGTGAACAAGAACCAAAGATCCCCAAAACTTACTTTATGAGTTTTATCGAAAAAGAAGGTATTTTTATGGGAATCGATAATTGTGGGATGATAGTATAAGATGAAGCAAGAACTCATGGTAACTACCCAAGAAAGAGGAAGAAGTTGAAGCAAGAACTCATGGTAACTACCGAAGAGAGAGGAAAAAGATGAAGCAACAACCTATGTATGATTTTGCTTTCAACATTTGAAACTCCATGTGGCGGTCAACCTAGTCCAAGTAAGCTTTAAACGATCTAGATGTGTATTCCATCACTCTTTTTAACGGCGATTAATGATGAATGATCAATTTGTAACAAACGATATTATTAGTGACTGATTTGTAATTTTTGAAACATTAGTAGTGAAAACGTACACTAACCTAAACATTAATGAACATGGCGTAGTTTACCCTTTATTTTATTGTTTTTGTTTCATTTCAAAATTCTTTTTCGTTTTCTTTCTTTGATAGAGATATGAATAAGAAGTTTGATTAAATTGATACAAATATTTGAAAGGGTTTCCAATGCTTAAGGCATTTTGAGTATTGATGCTTTGGAAGAAGCTTAATACATTTTTAAAATACTTAAGCTATACCTTAAATTACATTTTAGTCTCCAAAGATTTTTTTTTTGTTAAATATAGATGCATAACATTTTATTCGTTATACTTTTAGGTGCCTACAATTGTATGTTTAATTTTTTAATATTCAAAATATTATTTAAAAAAAAATCAAATCCCTCGTATCGCCATTCTCTCTTTCATCCTCCCACCACTGACGAAGAAGGGCCACCACTGGTCTGATTTTGTTCGAAGGAGGGTGACGAACTCAACATGACGGTCGTGTAACATATAGACGACTATATACATTGAAAACACCAGAAAACAACAACGAAAAACTTAGAAATTCAACGATCGTTTGCGATGTTTTTCACGACGATCGGTGTAGTTTTACGGTGGGTAAGGGACTAGGTTTTGGTTACGATGAGGGATGGTTTTGATGGTGTCAACAGTAACGACCACGGGCCGATGGTGGTCGATCAATGGTGAAAGATGTAAAATTTAGGGGTA